GGTGGGGGTGGGGTTGGGGAGGGGAGGATGGGAAGGGATGGGAAGGGGAAAGAAAGGAGGAGGCTACAATGCTTGATAAGAAATGTACTCATTACCTTGCCCATGTAACTGTAACCCCTCTGTACAGTATTTTCACAATAAAAGAAGAAAAATGAAAAGATAAAGGAATGTCCTTGAAAGCACGGTGTATCCGTAAGAAAGAGGAGCTGCTGGGCTCACTCTCCTGCTCCTGAGACTGTCTTCAGTGGCCTCATGCGGCAGCCGCGACGCCAGGCCTGACGCCAGCCCCTCCCGAGGTCCTGTCTGGAGGTTAAGGACAGCGGCTTGGGCGGGACCCCCGGGCCCGTTCAGCCCCACACAAGGCAAAGGAGCGATCCAGTGGAGAACACGAACAAGGAGCCACGTCCTCATCTCCTGCGACTGCAGCGGAAAACTTGGGTTGTTTGTTTCACATGTTTTCATTCTTCCTGCATGGGCGGAATTCCTTAGCGCTGACTGAGTAAGAGTTGAGCCTGCCTGTTGAGAATTACTTCCATTTACCAGAAATGGCCTTGTTCCCATTTGCTTGGTATTTTCCAAAGCAAGATACTGCTCTGATGTTGACACATCAACGAACAGACATCCGCATGCCCACAAAGGCTTTGAAGGGGCTGCCGCGAGCCCACAAGGCCCACTTCTGCTCTGCTCACAGTGCAAGCTCAGGAAGAGCAAGCGGTACCCCCGATCTGTCTTCTAAGGGACCCCTGACTGAACCCTTCTGCATTTCTTGACCTCCTGTATAACCTGTGACCACCTCCTGGGCTCCTTCCCCCTCTAACCGACACAGCTTGCTGTGGGAACAGAGCAGAAAAGTCGGGAGAAGGAGAAATCCTTCCAGTGGTCATGTTGGTGCTGAGTGGCTATTAGTACTATTACAAGAACAATCTCTGAATTTAGTTTTACCTGTTGGGGTGGGGAGTGTTGGCCTGAACTACCACAGACACCAAAGGCACAAGTTATTCTCTCATAGTAACTTGGTTACTCCTTGGAACTTTCTTAACAGTCGTTGATAAAAATAAAATAAAATAAAAGCAATGCATTCTGTCCATCAATGGCACACACCAAACTCACACCAAACTCGTTCCTCTTCTGGTCCTTGGCCTTATCATCGCCTCTGAACTTGTTACCCCCCCCCCAGCTCTCTCCCGCTTTCCCTCCCCCACCCTCCCCTGAGGAAAATTCCACAAGGAAGGTACTCACGACCTTACTGGTGTCACCGTAACCCTCTGCACAGGACCTCCACCATCCTGTCTGGCTTTCCCTCATCCCTCCGGTCTTGCTAAACATCCCATCCTCCAGGGGTCCTTCCCCTGCCCCCCACATGCTAAAGCCCATGTCAGCAGACACTATTGGTGCATCCATTTGCTAGGACGCCTTACAAAACATCAGCTTGGTTGGCACTGATAGTGGAACTTGATTATCTTATACTAACATGTAGTTCTGGAGCCTCGAAGTCTGAGATCTTCTGCTTAGCGGGGTTGTTCACTCTGAGGGCTGCTGCATGCTTAGCTCCCAGCATGCTTTGCCCAGGGGTGACTTTCAAAGATTGGCTCCAGTCTCTGTCTCTATCTGCATTCTCGCTCATGTATTTCTTTTTTCAAATTTCTCCTTTTCATAAGACAATAGCCATATTAGGATTGGAGGTTCATCCCGCCCCAGTGTGACCTTATCTTAATTTACCTAATTATGTCTGCGATAATCTCCATATGTGTCGCGTTCTGAGGGATGAGACGTTAGGATTTCCATGTATGAAAAGGAGGCATGATTTACTAACATAACTCGTATTTTTTCATAGAAGATATCTCCAACTGAATTTCAATATCTATGTTTTCTTTTTTAGCTTTTTTTTATCATGTTTTATTTTGTTGTAAGGGTGCTGTACAGAGGGGCTACAGTTACATGAGTAAGGTAATGAGTACTTTGTTTTTCTGCCACTATCCCTTCCCCACCCTACCCCATTCCCCCACTCTTGAAGTTGTAAATTTCATTTCCACCCCAGGGTCTTGCGAGTGTCATTGTTGCACCTTGCATTTTGTTATCGTCCTTCCCTTCCCCAAATCAGATAAATGTATATGCAAGATACCAGAATCAAACACAGCGACTACCAAAGGGAAAAAGAGAAAAAAATAAAAAGAAAGAACTTGACATGGTACATTGATGATAACAAAGTCAACAACAAAAAAGGAACTGTTACTAAAGCTACCCACACAACTGTGTTCATTGCAGCATTATTTACCATAGCTAAGATCTGGAACCAACCCAGATGCCCCTCAGTAGATGAATGGATGAAGAAAATGTGGTGTGTGTGTGTGTGTGTGTGTGTAATGGAATTCTATGCTTCCATCAGAAAGAATGGCATCGCCCCATTCATAAGGAAATGGAAAGACATGGAAAAAATCATAATTATGTGAGGTAAGCCAGGCCCAAAGAAACATTGGCTCCATGGTTTCCCTCATTTGTAATAATTAGCATATGTCTAAGATAGTCCTCAAAGAGGATCACAAAGCTCAATAGCTCTATGTACATATGACCTTATAAGATGATGCTAATCGAAAGGAGCTCCAAGTTATTTATATTTTCTCATTATCTGTCTAACAAGATGTCAACTTGACTGTTTCCAGTGAGACTCCAAGATAGATATTAGATTCCAGCGTGAAATGTGAGGAGGATTACTAGGAAAAATTTTACTGTCAGAAGCTAAGATCGGTGCTTTCTAAATGAAGGTACCCATAAATCACCTACCGCCCTTGTTAAAATGCAAATTCCGATTCAGCAGGTCTTGGTGAACACAATATTCTGTATCTCTAATATGCTCCCAGGCAATGTGAATATTTCTGGTCTATGGATCCTATTTTGAACAGCAGGGGATTTATGACAGATTTATAATGATGACACAAGAGTTAAAGGAATGAAGATAAAGAATATTATTTGTGGCAAAGATTATTTTATTGTTGTGATCTAAGCTTCAATTACCTGCTGTTCTGAACTCTCGCAAGGGAGATGTGGGGGGTGGGGTGGGGAGGGGGCCTGCTCCCAAGCTTCCACAGCACCTCCTGCAGCTGAAATATGACACCTGGATTCTGAGAAGAGAGTGGGTAACTTGGACTCAGATCCAGTAGCAGGTTAGAAACCACTGCAGGTGTTCAGATGGACAAAGGAGGTGTTTTAGGATCACACAGCCTCCCAGAGTTTGTCAACGAGAAGGGTGTCAGCTGTAAATTTGTAAGTAAATTCACTGGGCTGGCATGCACGGGGACACAGAGGCATTGACTGAAACAGGATAGCTCTGAGGGAGATCCACAATCGTGTAATTTCTTGGAAAAGCAAAAATCAAAGTTCAGCAAAGGAAAACACCAGGAAGCCGGAAGTGGGTACTCGAAAGGGTGAGGCAGGGTCAAGGGGAAAGGAGCCAATGAATGAAGAGGAGAAGAGGGGGAGGAGCCCACGCAGGTCCTGCACATCACCTTTATAGTAACAATTAGAACTTTAAATTGTGAATATTAAGAGGAGTAAAGGAAGGGGTGATGGGGGTGGATGAGACGCGGACGGGTGACGTGGACCAAGAGCTCTTGTGTTCATAAACTGCTCTGTTCAATGACTTAAACATCACAACCTCGGCAGATCTTCCGACTCTCTTTCTGTTTTTCAGTGCTCCACGGTCAAATCTGTCAGACAGTAGCTAACTAATGAATAGGAAAGAAAGTGATCCATGAATGGAGAAAAGCCAGGGATGTTTTCTCAGCTCTCTCAGCTCTGGTGGTTCATATCTTTTATGACTTGACTTTTCTTCAGCTTCATGCAGAAGTCAGGAGGAGGATGAGCTTCTCTAAGCAGATTACAGAGAAAGGAGGAGACGGAGACGGAGACGATTTCAGGCTTGCTCCCTGCTAGCCCTTTAAGTTCTCTGTGCTGGTGCCAGCGACAGAAGCCAGGCCGAGTCCTCAGGGCCTCCTTGCCCTCCTCCTCGGGCCTCCGCCAGGCCGAGTCCTCAGGGCCTCCTCGCCCTCCTCCTCGGGCCTCCGCCAGCACGGCTGCTGCAGTGGCAGAGGCCGCCTATGTCGGAACAAAGGCACCAAATCCCAGGCGAGAGTCAAGTGGTCGACATCATAGATGTGTGTGTGTGTGTGTGTGCGCGCACGCGCGCGTGCACGCACATGCCCTGATAATATTATCCAGTGAAGTACCATGTCTTTTCTCAATAAAAATAGAATAGGAGCCGGGGACCAGTGGCTCATGTTTGTCATCCTAGCTACTCAGGAGGCTGAGATCTGAGGATCACGGTTCAAAGCCAGCCCAGGCAGGAAAGTCCATGAGACTCTTATCTCCAATAAACCACTCAGAAAATCAGGAAGTGGCGTTGTGGCTCAAACGGTAGTGTGTCTCGCCTTGAGCTGAAGAGCTGAGGGACAGCACCCAGGTCCAGAGTTCAAGCCCCACGACCGACCAAAATAAAAAAGGATATGACCGTGGATAAAAGTAAAATATCCTGAGTAAGCAATTCTTAGGAACCTACTTGTGAGGTGAATGTTAGCCTGCTATCCAGAGCTGTGTATGATGGCTGATCTCCCCAGCATAACGGACATTGCTTGAGTATCTGTGAGAGAACGAGGCAGAGACTCTTATTAATGGCCCTCCCACTAATCTATATGGAGGAGATGGCTGGTTTTAAAGGAAATTTCTCAAATGATTATATACCAATGAGAAGCTGCACAAATGAAAGTTACACAAATAATACACAGAAATAAGTCATCTCCACTTATAAGAGAGGAAATGTGAGCCGCGTGCTGGTGGCTCACACCTGCAATCCTAGCTACTCTGGAAGCTGAGATCTGAGGATTGGGGTTTGAAGGTGCCCTAACAGGAAAGTCTGTGAGACTCCTGCTTCCCATAAACTATCAAAAGCTGGAAGTAGAGCAGGTGCTGAGAGCAGTAAAGTGCTACCTTTGAGCACAAAAGCTCAGGGACAGCAACCAGTCCCTGAGTCCAAGTCCCAGGACTGGCACAAAAAGCAAGAAGGAGAGGAGTAGGAAGAAGGAAGGAAGGAAGGAAAGAAGAAAGGAAGGGAGGAAGGAAGGGAGGGAGGGAGGGAGGAAGGAAGGGAGGCAGGAAGGAAGGAAGGAAGGAAGGAAGGAAGGAAGGAAGGAAGGAAGGAAGGAAGGAAGGAAGGAAGGAAGGGAGGAAGAAAGGAAGGGAGGAAGGAAAAGGTGCTGTACCGAGGGGTTAAGATAATGAGTACATTTCCCATCCAGCCTTGGTACTCCTTCTGATACATTTGAATCCCATCTGTTCCAGAAAGCTCACTAAGTCTAAACCAAATCTCCATGTCCTGCAAAATGGAGTAAAGCTGCACAAGTTACCAATCAAGCAATTTGTGTAGCACTGTGACGTCCTTGCTTGTTAAATATGTCATTGTTATTTGACGCTGCGTGTGACCTCGCACCCTTGGCTAACACGCCGACGGTGAGCAGTGAATCTCGCTTACCACAGAGCATCTGTTGGCACACAGTGCCTGCAGTGAAGTAGATGATGGATAAAAGCGCATGGTGTGACTCTGGGACTTGACGTTCCTCTAGCTCTGGCCTCGGCCTTTACTCTTTCACAATCCGTCTCCTTTTGTTTCACATACCCGAACAGCCTTCACCGAGTATTTGTCTTAGCTGAAATATGGAGTTGAGAGAGGGATACATGTAATAAGCTGCAGCTCTATTGTGGAGACGGAAGGCATGGGACTGAGAACTAACAACGTGATAGGCAAAGGGGTCCTTACACAATCGACGAAGAACAGGATGACAGCGTTATTAAACACCGTACTATTGGAAGGGAAACGGGCTAACTGGGGTTGGTCATTCTGACCTCACTGCCAAAGGATTCGCGTGAGGGCATGGTAAGGGCCTGAAAGGAGGTGTGGTAGAGACCTTGATGACTTGCAAAGAGTTGAATGTGGAAACTGAAAAAGGAGGAGAAGTTAGATGTGAGGGGCCTGGCCTTGGCTACACGGTGAGCTGCAGACCAGCCTGTGCGTGGCGAGACCCAGCCTCTCAAAATGGACAGGACAAGGCCGTCTCCACGTCTCAGGGCAAAGGGCGGTGAAGGCATGGACATCATCGCTGGGCTTCATTGCTCGGTGCCTGACCTTACTTCCGGCATAAAAACGACTCAGTACGGACTGACGGCCAGCTCCCTGCTTCCTGAACCCAGCTCATCTACTGACTCCAAGCTTCGTTATTGCTCCAGAAAACTACATTCTACCTTTTTACACAAAGGAATTCTTTAGGAAGGAAGAGCTCTAGAAGAGAGAATTGAGAATCTAATGCCATCGTCCTCCAATAAGCATTGCAAAAATGTCCTTTATCAGGTTTAAGATAAAAAGCATTCCTTCTGCGTCCCTTCCTATGTTTTATTTCTCTGATAATCTCTCTCATGTCGTAGCAGGGCTACTATAAGCTCATGCAGAATAGAAACCTCAGAAATCTTTTGTTTCATTATACATGACTGAGGTTGGGATTCTCAGCCTTCAGCTTCCGTTGAACCTTTGAACTGCCTAGACAGGCACTCTATCTCACGAGTCGCCTTCCAGTCCTTTTTCTTTTATTTTTGGTTGGTTGCAGGGCTTGAACTCTGGGCCTGAGCACTGTCCCTACTCTCTTCAGCTCAAGGCAAGCGCTCTACCACTTGAGCCACAGCACCACTTCTGGTTTTCTGGTTCTTAACTGGAGATAAGAGTCTCATGGACTGTCCTGCCCAGGCTGACTTTGAACTGTGGTCCTCAGATCTCAGCCTCTTGAGTAGCTAGGGTGACAGGCATGAGCCACCGGCACCCAGCTCATTCCAGTCCTTTTGCTTTATTTATTTTTTGAATAAGATCTCACATTTTCACTTAGACTAGCTTGGACTGTGATCTTCCTACTTAGTTTCCTTCAGAGCAGAGATAACAGATGTGTACCACTACATCAAGCTTTTCCTTGTTGAGATGGGGGTCTTATGAGCTTTTTATGCATACTAGCCTTGAACCATGATCATCCCAATCTTTACCACATAAGTGCTGGATTGCAGGTGTGAACAACTGCACCTAGCCCTTAAGAACCTTTGGATGCTGCTTCCCTGAACTCCACAACTGTCATTAGTTATTATACCATGGAAATCTTTTCTCTCCAAATTCTCCCTTAACTCCTCAACTTCAGTTCCCATAACCAGTACCAAGTCTAACTAGAATATATTGTAACGGGCCAACCCCTCCTCTTCTTCCTTGTGTTCTTTGTCCAAACCCCAGCACTGGAAAGAAGATTAAACATTAATCCTATCTTTTATGTTAAACCATTCACTAAGCCATTTGCACATTTTTTCCTTGTCAATAAGTAAATGGATTTCAGTTACCATTTAATGTGATTCCTTTCAGCCAAAGGACATTCTTCAGTAACAAATCTCTCAACGTTTGTTTTTGTGGGAACACTTCCCTCACTTCTAAAGGATCATTTCCTAGACATGAAATCCCTCCTTGATGAATGTTTTTGTTGTTGTAGCTGTTTCTCTTTTAGAGTGTGTATTGCACACTTTCTGGTACCCATTATTACAGACACAAAGTTACTTATTAATCTCATGGGGGTTTCTTTGTAGATGGGAAGTCCTGTTGGGATTTCTGTCTTTTTTCTCAATCGTGTATGAATCTCTTTCTGTTTATCCTACGTAGGGTGTGATGAGTGGTTTGGGAGCTCTATGGATTGTTTGGTTTTTTTCTTTTCCCAATTTTTAAACGCTTTCTGCACAGGTGTGTAATCTGCTAATTAACCAGGAATGTTCTGGCAGAGTGGGCTTTCTTTGGTCTTCCATGTACAAGTACAATTATATCAACAGGGATGTGTGAAGTTGTTGTCAGTCTTCTTTGAGATGTTTCATGTCTAAATCTCTGTTTAACTTCTGCTTGGTCTACTGGTCTATAGCTTGTCCTGACTAGAACTGTAATCTCAGGTGAGAATCTGCCGGCCTTTCTTATTTGCTTTTTCCCAAGGTCATCAGTTTCAGTGAGGATGCTATTGGAAATGGATTTCCCATCTTTCGCATACAATCAGTCGAGTCTCTCTGGGCAGCAAAGATGCTGGATTTCTCAGCCTGCTCCAAAAAGTAGCATTACCATACCAACCAACTGCAAGGACAGAAACAACTTAAGGCGAGCGTAAGACAGATTTTGAGCACCCATATTCAACGTTCGATGGTCTTTTTGTTTTGTTTCCTTTTACTATACCATCCAGGTATAGTTATTTTGGATAAAGGAAATTTATTTCTCCTCCTGCTTTATGACAAAGGAGAAGTTGGATGTCTCAACTGGCTGACTTTCTATTTATTACAGCCATATTTTCTTGCTTCTTTGTGTGCTAACAAAGCTATGGATTTCACTTTGTTAAATGCTAGTTGTTTGGTATAGCTATCCATATTCTTGAGCTTTGTTCTCATTGGTTGGAAATAATTCAGTCTGGGGTGCCTTCTTTTAAGCTTGGGTAAATAAGAATAGAGCAGTGTTTAGCTGGTGACGATTCTGTCACTTTCTGAGTAAGAGCTCTTCTGAATTCTCTACCTAATGAACTTTCTCATTATCTTTTCTACTAGAGTTGGTAAGAATAAGAACTATGCCCAGCCATATAGGAGTCTTGGTGGTTATTTCTTACAATCCTTTCAGATGGCTTCTCTCCATGGCTTCAGGAAGCTTCTTAGCAGTAACTTACCATCTACTGATCATTTCTCTTAAGCTCTGTCTCTGTGAGTTTCTTTCCGCGATGTCCAGCTGGCTCTACAATACAAAGAGACCCTCTGGCTCCCCCTGCGATGCCCCTTGCAGGCCACAGCCTGGATTCATCTCTCTCTACCAAGTAGGCCAGGGCAATCACAGAGTTCTTTGCATCTATTTCCCCTCCTGTCTTTTACAGCGTCATGTCCACTATCTTGAAAACATGGTTCCATCTTTGTCTGATACGCTTTCAAGCTCATCCAAATCTGATGCCTGATACTCACCATTCCCAGAAGCAGAGCCAGTAATGCTTACCTGGACCAAAGGAACACAT